GACTAGATTGTTTGCGTGTTTGAATCCTATGTTGTCAGGTTCATCTCGAATTGTTTTCATGCAGTGCACTTGAAGTTGCAAAGTTTATATTGTTTTTTCGCTTTCAGATGCTGATGAACCGTTCAAGCTGTAGCTATCAAGGTACACGTATTTCGTTGAGCGACGGTGTAAAAATGTTGAGGGCTGGTGTGAACTCTGTGAACCCTGTGAACTATGTTGAGAGCATCTGTGAACTACTATTTTTTCAATGTGTTTGACAAAACCCTTGAGTGAGGAGCGAGACAGAGAGAGAGGGAGACACCAAGACCTTCAGAGAGAGAAAGAGAAAGAGAGAGGGAGACAGAGACCTCCAGACAGAGAGAGAGAGAGAAGGGGTGACAAAGGTACCTTCAGATAGAGAGAGAGAGGGGGAGAAATACAGAGACCTTGAGAGAGATAGAGAGAGAGAGAAGGGGAGATACAGAGGCCTTGACAGAGAGAGAGGGACGGTCAATGAACTGCGCAAACTTGTTGTGAGTCTTGAGATGTTTTGAGATGTCTTGAGGAACTGAAACACTCAGTGAAGGCTCGAACCATGGACACAGTCATGATTGATTGAACGTTCAGCTAACTCACTTGCTTCATACGTTTGTGTTTGTCGGGCCGTCATGACAGTCTCAGCTACAGCTACTGTTGCAGGGAACAGTAGCCAGGCTAGACACAGAACTTCACAAGAGGAAATGAACCTAGAAGTCATCAATGCATGATAACATTTAGATGCCGAACCCATGATCTTGGGGCAAAGGCATGTGCGCACACATGCAAATCGCCACAGTCCACAGGAACTATACACACATTTGTATATAGGCACATTCAACCTGGCCAACCCGTCTTGGCGATCGCGCCAACATGACCATGATGCCTGCTGGTGCTGGAGGTGAGCCGTTCAGGGTCTTCCTCAAGCACTTGTTCATGTCGACCACCGAGAGCCAGCTGAGAGGCGAGTTGAGCAAGTTGGATGCTGACGAAGGCCTACAACAAGTGCATTTGGTCAAGCGTGGGCGGTTCGACAACACGCGGACCATAAATGTTTTTTGACCTACAATACAAAGGCCCAGGTGGACAAAGCTGTAGATCTTCTTCAAGGCCAGATGCTGGGCGGACTGTGCAAGTATCCAGCAGAGGTGGATCAGGCCTATCCCAGAAACATCACTGGGCGGTACTATGATGCAAACGTAGGAGCCGCATTTACAGTTGGTTCAGGTCCACCTCAACCTTCAACAGCTGCTCCAACCCCCCCTCCCATGCCAAGGCCCACACCGCCAGTGACCCTACGGCCGACCATGTACCAGTTCCCGCCAATTCCTCCTATGGGAACGCAGTTCATGCCTCCCTGCCCGGCACCGCCTCCGTTTCAGATGCCTGCGGCTTGGGTCAAGGTGGAGGGAACTACAGCCAAGGCGCAAGCCAAAGGAGGTCCAGAACCCACCATTCCAGCCGAATCCAAGGCCACCAATCCAGTGATAATCAAAAACCATCCAGTGGAGGCCCCAGCCCATCCAGTCCAGCCCAAAGGCAGTGAATCCTCAAGTTCAGTGCCTGAGCCCACCAGCAAGGAATATAGAGAAAAGCTGTCTCAGGCAATTTCCAAAGAAAACTGGGACGAAGAGGACTTGCTGTTTTTGCAGCCGCCTGTACAGCCTCCAGATGACTATGAGCCCCCTGTACAGCCTCCAGATGACTATGCGGATGTCTATGAAGAGGAGGCCAAGGAGGAGAAGACCGAGCAGAGCGAGGAGCTTGTTCAGGAGAAAGTAGAGCTTGAGGAGTTCTTTGCGTCGGCTGCCTTTGGCTCTTCGACAGCTGCTGATTCCGTGCCGGAACACACAAGTCCGACTTCACCTGCTTCTGAAGGTCATCTCGAGGCGGCAAAGCAGACAAAGGTAGAGTTGGCAAGACGAAGCCAGCATGCATCTTCACCGAGGGCAAGTTCATCAAGTTCAGCCTACAGTGCCAGCTACAGTGTTGACCAGAGCAGATCCAGGTCACGAAGGAGGCATCGACAGAAAGGGCGACGAGGTCGACACCAACGTGGCAGGAAGCCGTCAAAGCGTGGCCGTGATCGCAAAAGGCGATGATCGTGGAAGGCTGAACGTGTGGTCTCAAAATGTGCAGTTGTGCGAGTTCAGTGTTTTGTCAAGTGGGAGTCCAGCATGTCAGACATGTCAAGGTTTCAAAAAGACTTTGTCTAGAGGGGTTTTGCTCTTTGAAACATGTTGCGCACAAATCCACTGAGTGAACCTTCAACCTTGAGTGAGCCTGGAGTGAACCTTGAGTGCACTTGACTATAGCATCATGTCAAATTCAGGTTTGAGGTTTGAGGTTTCAGGTTCAGGTTCTGTCCTAATTCCTCTCATGGTCTCTCCTCTCAGGGTTTCTGTTTTTGAGGACTTCGTGACTTCATATGCGCACTTTATGTCGACAGGTTCAGTCCCCTCAGCGTGAAATCCTCTCATGGTATCTCCTTTCAGGGTTCAAGGTTTTCAAGACTTCGTGACTTCATATATGCAGTTTTATGTCGACAGCAGTGAAAACCGAACCTTGAGTGAACTTTGAGTGAGAGAGATACGACGCGAACTTCTTGGATTGTTTTTGTGCCTTCATAGTTTGAAGCTGACAAACGCAAGATCTGAACCACTTTGAATTGGAACTTGTTCTGATATAGCTCCTTCAAGCTCAAACTATTTGTGGTATACATTCGACCAGCTGTGCGCTTTGAACATGTCGGACAACGTGCACCAGAACAAGGATTTGAAGGTTGGTACCACTGCTGGCGCCTTTCCCAAGCAGGAAGATGATGCTAAAACTTTGGTTCTTGGAGAACTATCTTCCGAAGAGTGGAGCCCTGGGGTGGATGACCCTCCTGTGAACGAGGACTCTCAAGTACCTGATAGCCCAGGGGTGGATGTGGATGACTCTCAGGTTCTGCAAAACTCTCAACCTGTCTTTTCACCCAAGGAAGAGTTCCCTGATTCTCAACCTGTTGAACGGGTTGAGGAGAACAAGGAAGATCCATCTCCCGAGTCGCCCAACATCCATGATGACAAGAGTGTGGAGGACGAAGGGAAGGATGAGTCTGCTGAGGGTGAAGAGGAGGAACACGCTACCGACGATGAGGTGACTGGTTTCTTGACCATGGATGACAACGGTAACTTGCTTCAACATGGCCATGTCAGCGATTATTCCTACCAGCTCATGCACTTCATCCAGGACATCATGGCTAATGCGGCTAGTAATACTGCGGCGTCGAGCACCTCTACTCCTCCAGTTCAGGCTCCAAACCCAGGTTCCCGTGAACAGCGTCGTAGGGCGCGCAACGCTCGCTTGCGCAAGCTGAGGGCAAAGAGCGGGAAGTAGAATCCCTCTGTGTGGGCTTTGCTCTTTAGACGTAGAATCCCTTTTGCGCAGGGCGGTTTTTGAATGCCTTTGATGATGGCAGCGTACCAGCAAGAGCGAAAGGTATGAAAGAATAATGCTGTCCCAGTGCCACTTCAGCCTTGTTGCGCCTTGAGTTGAGTGATGTTTTTGTTAGAGTTCTATCAAAAATATTTACAATTTTAATGGCTGAGTAGTGGATGGGGTCATAGTTTGGTAGAAAGTAGGTCGTAGTTTCTAGTCATACTTTGGTAGTACTTTGGTAGCACTTTGGTAGCACTTTGAAGGTAAACATGCAAAACCATTGGTATATACAGTGCTTTGTGAAATCAAACTATGACCCCTCTCTAAACTACTACCAAAGTACGACCAAAGTATGACTAGAAACTACGACCTACTTTCTACCAAACTATGACCCCATCCACTACTCAGCCATTAAAAATTGTAAACATTTTTGATAGAAATCTAACAAACAATCCATCATTTGAATTGAGTTTTCGGTCATTCGTACAAGTGAAGGTTGCTGAACTGTTGAAAGCTTTGATGAACTTCAGCGCTCATTTGTGAACCTGAACGCCAATCTCAAGAAGTCTTAGAGTTTGAACGTGATTTCGATTGACTGCCATCCGCTTCCCTTGACTAGCCATGCCAGCAATGAAGCGACCAAGCTCGGCGGCAGCGGAGGGGGCGAAGAAGAAACCAGCCGCTTCAGGCTCAATCCGTGAGACGGTGGACGCGATCCAGGATTGGGCAGAGCAACGCGGTGAAGGTGAAGAGTCAGAGGTGAGGGATAAACAGAAGGCCCAAAAGTTCCACAAGATGCTGAGCAATGGGTCGCTACCTGACCATATAGTGCACATGTTTCAGGTGGAAAGCAAAACAGCCAAGGAGGGGCAGCGAGCCTACCAAACCAAGCTCATCAACAGCTTGTTCGAGAAGGGCGATGATGGATCCTTTCGCGTGATGTCTGATCGTCAAAAATTCCAAGAATACAGGAAGGTTTGGAAGGCCAACGTCGCCAAGGACAAGACTGAGGCCATGCCAAAGACTTTGATGTTGGCAAGTCACTTTCACGGAAATGAGGCCCTGATGAACCAGGCGATCAACAACGGCGAGCTCATGTCGAAGATAGACCCTGTGTCAAAGCTTGAGTACCTGCAATTCCGAAAGTTCAGCCACACCGAGCTACGAGGCAACGAATCAGGCGAACAAGTCCAGGGAGACAAGAAGCTGAACAAGGAGCAGGCCCACGCCTTGGCGGACTCCATGAGCAAGCTCAAATGGACGTTCACTTTGAGCAAGGTGGGTGGCTTGCATGGGGTGGGTCAACTTTTAACAGGTGCCAGTGCGGGTGAACTTTGGACAGGGGTGGGTGGCTTCCATGAGCAACTTCTTAAAAGGATGACATTCTTCAGCAGTTTCCTCTCATGGTTTCCTCTCATGGTCATGGTGAATTTTATCATGGTCATGGTTTCCTCTCATGGTCTCTCCCTCTCTCTCTATCTCTCTCTCTCTCTCTCTCTCTCTCTCTCCTTCCTCTCAGGGTTCTCTCAGGGTTCGTAGCCCTACATTCCTTTGAAGGGAAGCTACATGTTGGTTGCCCTTATGCGCTTCATCGCAAAACATATCAGGCGGACGAGAAACGAATGGATGAGCAGGGCCAAATTCCGGAGTCAGTCAAGAAGCTCGCGGTGAAGGCGAAAGATGCATGCGAGCGTTTGGTCAAAGACGGCTCCAAGCTTGTGGCTCTACCGGATATGAGTGGTGGAGTGAAAGATGCGTACAAGATTTTGAGCCAACACATTACGAATTTGAACCAGCTTCTCATCCTCGGCGAGCTGCCGTCCCAGGCTGCCATCAACCGCAACTCCTTGGAGAACTTTATCGGGGGCATCGCCAAAGATGTGGAAAAGTACCACGGGGAAATCCAAGCTGCAAAAGCTCGGGCAAAGACCGGCAAGGCCAAGTCATGAATCTAGCAAGAGTCACCCGTGACCTCAATGAGTTTTTGAGCCCTCTCTATGAACTTGAACCTCAAGTACACCTGTGGTTTGGCACTGAGAGGCATGTGACAACTTGAAGGGACCGCTGTTCAACGCTGAAAATTGTTTTTTTTTGTGCTGTGCGCTTGAGCTGAAACATTGGAACTGAAAAACAAAAGAACTCGTATGACGCGTGAACAAAAAGCTATTGTAGAACTTGCAGTTTTTGTCTTCAATACTTAGAACTCGTATCAAGGTAGAACCAAAAGACACCCTGAGAGGCTGAGAGGCACTTTGAGAGGCTGTCGCGTAGAGACGAGAGAGTGAAAGAAGCTGAGAGCCATGTTGTAGACCTTGCTGTTTTTGTCCTCAATACTTAGAGCTCGTATCAAGGCAGAACCAAAAGACACCCTGAGAGGCACTTTGAGAGGCTGTCACACAGAAACTCGAGAGAGTGAAACAAACTGAGAGCCATGGAGAACTAGCCATAAGATGTAAAGAGACCATGAGAGCCAATGAGCCAATGAAACCATGACAGATTCATGAAAACCATGGAGAAATAGTCAGGGTGTCAGAGTTCATGTTCGCCACTCGCCGTTAAAGATTCTTATGTGAAGAGGGTCAACCAAAATGATGGCAGCAGTTTCACCGGCCTATCTCTGTTTGCGTTTGTTCAGTCATGAGAGGACTTCACATATACTCATCATGAACCAGCCACAAGTTCATTGTGCCATTGTGGTAGGCTCACATTGGCCTCAAATCAACCTGTATCGAAGCGTCCTTTCTGGGTTTCTTCTATGTAACCATGGTTTTGTTTTATTTTGGCCCCACTAGTGGTCAATATCCAGAAGTTTACATCAAGCCTGTAGACAGCCATGATGGATGATTGGCAACCCCCAAGAAAGAAACGCCGCGGCGGCCATCAGCAAAGATTACAACAACAGGCTGCCGAGAAGGAGGCGCCAGCAAGCTGCGAGAGCTCTGCTTTGTGTTTGCTCCTGTTGAACTTGTTTGCGTGGGGGTTCTTTTCGCCACAAAGAGTTCAGCAGATCGCTGAAATGGCTGTGAAGGACATCGAACGATCCAAGGAAGACCCACAAGTTTTGAAAGACCTCTACACCCTGTCCAATCTGGGGACCAAAGGAAAACACGCGAACAACATCCACGCCGAGCTCATGAGCAAAGTTGAGCGTGTTCCAAAAATCCCCAAGCCTTTCAAAGCAAAAGTGCCACTGAAAGGGTTTCCTGACTCAGTTCAATCGATGCTGTTGCCACATGAAATGTTTGCTTGTCTATACCGCAACTACAAGAAGGTCTGGTCCACTGCAGTTGTGCCAAGCGTTGAGCGGGTGCAAAAGTTTTGGAGAGCCATGCGGCTTCATCCCCAGATGCGTGATCACCCCATGACTTCCTCCCCTCAATGGGAGAGTTGGACTGTGCCTATTGCCGTGCACGGTGACGGAGTTCCAGTCACTGGTGTGGGGAAAGTGTGGAGTCGAGTGATGACCAATTACTCATGGTATTCCCTTCTGGGATATGGTACCACTCCATCAATGCTCATGTGGGTGTGGGGGTTCTTTGACAAGCTGAAGGTGGGCGACCAAGCATCAGGCACACTCCTGGAGTTCTACTCCATATTGAGATGGAGCTTTTTGGCGTTATCGGGAGGCAGGTGGCCTTCGAGGAATCACAGAGGAGAGAAGCAACTTGAAGTTTTTCAGTCATGTCTTGTTGCTAAATATACATGCAACAAGCCAGCAGGAATATGAATATGCAATTGAGAGAGGTCATCCATTTATAAGAGAATATAACATGGAACTTGGAACATGAGAACCTGGAACATGATAACCATGAACATTGAAGCTGAACTGCTTTACCCTAGTTCCTCTCATGGTGTCACCTCTCAGGGGTACAAAAAGTTCCTCTCATGGTGTCACCTCTTCAGCGTTTCAGGTGTGGTCTGAAAAATTTCGGCTGTGTAAGGTACAAAGAAGGCTCTGTGGAAGCCTTGAGAGCCGGGTCTTGGCTGGCTGGTGGCTGGAAGGGTGTCCTATGGGCACTCACAGGAGACCTTGACTACTTCAACGCCATGCTTGGCACCCCCAACTATTCCGCAGTGGGTGGCCCATGTATGCATTGCAAATGCACTGGGACTGGCGCTGCAACATGGACAGATTTTCGACCACAGGCTATGTGGAGGAACACGCGCTGGGAGGCCCATGTTTGGAGAAATTGGGGCGAACGTTCGAAGTGCATTTTGCTGACTCTTCCTGGGGCGAGTTGCTGGTCAATAGCCTACGACTGGGTTCACGTAAAGTACTTGGGCGTAGATCAGTACATCTTTGGCTCAGTGATGGCCCTCTTGGTTTCTATGGTCATGCCAAATGACGCGAACCAGAACTTGCAGAACTGCTGGGATTTTTTGAAAACCTTTTTCAAAAACCACGCCACGCCCACACCATTCAGATATTTGTCGAAACTGTCAATGTTCATCCGCACAGGAAAGTACCCCAAATTGAGGGGGAAGGCCTCAGAGATAAGGCACTTCGGCCCAGCTTTGTTGGCCCTGTGGTCTCGGCATCAGAACCCTCACCTCGTGCTGCACCAGCGCATCACCCTCATGCTGAAACAAAATGTACACCTGGAGGAAATGATTACTTTCCACAAGGACGACTTCGCCCTACCACCTGGACCAGCACAAGAGTTTGAAGAAACCGCCAACAGCATGCTCTTACTTCTTTCCCAGGTAGCTGATCACTTCGTTGAGGAAGGCATGAAATGCTTCGATATCACAAGCAAATGCCACATGCTTCAAGAGCTTGCTATTTTGAGTCGCTCCATAAACCCCAAAGTGACATGGTGCTTCATGGGTGAGGATCAAATGCAGCGCATGCAGCAGGTCGCTAAAGCGTGTGTTCGTGGCAACAAGCTTGACAAACAAGCCACAAAGCTGGCCCGCCACTACCGCTTAGGGTTGCACCTGCACTATCTCGACTTGGCTGCGTAAAAAGAACTGTGAGCTTGTGTGCACTTTGCTGGGACACGTGAGCTGCAGGTTTTACTTCTCTGAGTATATATGTGGTTTGTTCGTGCGTCGAGTTTGCTTCACGTAGAGCTGTGAGAGGCATCCGTGAGACACCTTCAGAGACATCCATATGAGAGACACATCAAACATGTCTTAAATATATCTGCATCCATGAGGTCTGACACTATACCCTGAAAGTCTGTCACAGCCTTTCATTTACCACATATCACAGTCTTTCATTTATCACCCACCACAGTCTTTGTTTCTGATTTTTAAGGTCTCTCACTCTCAAAGTCTCTCATGGATTTCCTCCACAGTTCTCTCATGGCAGACTTGTTGCGAACACTTCAACAAATCGACTTTGAGAAAAATCATGTTGGTCTCTTACTACTGAAAGACCTGTCGTAGCTTTGAAAGAACCCTTTACCCAAGACTTGTTGAAAGAATATCACTTTTACTGGTTTTATTCTTATTGAGCAGGTTTTTGGAGACACATATCCATGAGATACCTTGTGAGAGACTTGAAAGCAAGCATGAAAGATGAAGTCTTCAGCCCCTGAAAAGATCTATGTATAAATACCTTGATTCAGAGAGTTTTTGTTGGCTATGAACAAGACCGACCGGGAATTGCTGAAATCTGCTTTTTAGAAGCCGACCCCATTGCCAGAGATGGCAAGTCTCCATTGAGAGATTTCAAAGCAAGCACGAAAGATGAAGTCTCGAGCCCCTGCAAAGACTCCACCTGTGGTGGACAACTGTTCATGAGAGAGTGGTGCCATGAGAGACCATGACACAGGTGCCGTCAGAGGTTTGATCACTGTGGGTATTCATTCATGGCCATGTTTTGGATGTACCAATTGTGTTTCCGTCGGTTTGTATACAGTAAGAAACGTGTATATAAACACAAAAAAGGTTAAAAAACAAGGGTCGTACTTTGGTAGTAGTTTGGTAGTAGTTTGCCACCAGAAAAATCTAACTAATAGTCAGAAATCTAACTATTAGACAAATTTTGTTTTTAACTATTAGTTAGATTTTTTCGCTCGAAAACTGATCACAAAAATCTAGCTAATAGTTAAATTCGCAAAAACGATAAACTAACTATTTAGACAAATTTGCTTCCAAAAAAGTTAACTATTTCAAGCCAAAAATCGATCTATTTTCCACACCCCAAACATAGATCTATTTTTAAGAAATCAATTGATTTCCAAGAAATAGACAATAGTCCAAAAACAAGCTAACTCAATCTATTGGGTGTGCAGATTTCGTGGCAGGCACAGCATCTGGCAGCTGGAAGCTGAGAACTGGCGACTTTGTAGCGCAACTTAAGTACGCGGAGCAATTTGTGAGCTGGAAGCTGAGAACTGGCGACATTGTAGTACAACTTTAGTACGCGGCGTATCTGGCAAGCTGGACGAGGAGAACTGACGACTTTGTAGTACAACTTTACTACGCGGAGTATCTGTGGAGCTGGATGGTGAGAACTGGCGACTTTCTAGTACAACTTTAGTACGCGGAGCAATCTGTAGAGCTGGAAGCTGAGAGCTGGCGACTTTGCAGTACAACTTTAGTACGCGGAGTATCTGTGGAGCTGGATGGTGAGAACTGGCGACTTGCTAGTACAACTTTAGTAACTTTAGTACGCGGAGCAATCTGTAGAGCTGGAAGCTGAGAACTGGCGACTTTGTAGTACAACTTTAGGACGCGGAGTATCTGGCGAGCTGGACGATGAGAACTGGCGACTTTGTAGTACAACTTTAGTACGCGGAGTATCTGTGGAGCTAGAACTGGCGACTTTCTAGTACAACTTTAGTACGCGGAGCAATCTGTAGAGCTGGAAGCTGAGAACTGGCGACTTTCTAGTACAACTTTA